GCCACTCGGCCAGCCCACGGGAGAGAATATTTGAAAACCCCAGTTTTTAAGGTATCAACAAATGGGTGTGATTCTCCAGGTCCTGCTTATTAAAGCAATTATTTTTTATTATTATTTTTTATTTATAAGGGACTGCCACAGAACAAAATAAAGACAAACACACAAGATCTTCACAGCTGGTTATATTTTGACTGAGAGAGGAGCAGTCCACTGGGGATGGGGATGAGTGTGTGGAATGGGAGTGGGTTGTGCTTACTGTTGATGATCGCGGAGGGAACATTGGTAAGATCTGCCAATGAGGTTGTTTATATGACAAAAAATCCTGAGAGGGCAGGGCCAGGCGTGGCGCTGCCCCATAACTATGCCACACTGCCTCCCCCTGACATCTTTATCATATGCCCACAGTTGACCCTGCTCCCTCATCTCTGTGGCGTGTGATGGCTTTGATTCTGCTGGTCTTGTGTATCGGGCTGGTTGGTGGACTAGTGGCTCTGGGGATTATGTGTAAGTATTGACTCATTGCCAAAGATTTCATCCGAGGAAGGCAATACCTAAGGTCCTGGTATATGCCACTAAACTTAACTGTCAGCATTTGTCAATTTGTCACCACTCCAATCATAACTCCCAAGATATTCTCAATAAAGGAGAACTCTGATCTTCCCCTTCGGATTAAAATCACCACTTAGAATTTTTTATTCATTAAAAATTATTTTCAGGGCTGGCTGAGTGGCTCAGTTGGTTAAGAGCTCGCTCAAGAGTTTGAGCTCTGAGCAACAGCGGTTCGAGTTCCGGCCCAAGCTGAGCAGCCGCTGAGCTGCCAACAGGTGGCAGGATGGCTCAGCTAAAAAACAAACAAACAAAACAAAACAAACAAAAAATTATTTTCAAGAATTTTAACTTGGTCCTTAAGTTCCTCTTCAGCATAGATCCACACTATCTTTGGAAACTTTCTTTGCTTCCAATCCTGCGTGTCTTAAGATCCAGCCAACATGGAGTTTACTCAGTTTCACAAATGCATCCCATGTTCCTATGCCTGAGATTTTGCTCATTCTATTTCCTCTTCCTAAAATGTCCTCCATCTCATTTTATTTAATGAATGTTAAATAAATGTTACTTCCACTAAGAAATAATTCATATCCCACCTAATTTATAATATTTTTCCTCCTATAAATCTAAAAGCCCTTCAAAGTCACGTTATCATCTGTGTAGTTGTTGCTTGTTTGTGTTCTTGTTTATTTTTTCATATTTTAGAATCTTTCATTCACCTTTTTTTATTTATTTAAATATCACAGTACTTTCAGCATAAAAGAAAATCAATATGTAATTTTTAAATGAATGGGTATTTTGGTATTACATGAAAAACAAAATAACAGACCTTATTCAGCTTTGTGAGATCTGCTTAGCAATCTGTACTATGGAAACTTCAAAACAACTGCTTTGGGCATGTGATTTGACCAAGGCATTTTCTTATTTGTGATTATCTCCTTCAAATAGTTCCCTTATTCTTTTGAATAACCCTCAGTTGTCAGTTTACATAGTTCTTAATTTGCTCTTTATACCCCAGTCCTTGACCCTGAGCCCCTTTCAGCAGTCATTTACTCATGTGTATCTTGTAAACACTTCATAGATTGATAATTCTAGTAAAATTTAAGTTTATTGAAAGGTCTTTGCATTACCCTTTTATCCTGATTACAAATTATTAACTAATTTTTACATCTAGCTGTCACGCAGCAAAACTACCTACAAGTTGAGAATAAAAATCTCTCAGGGACTCTTCAACAATTAGCAAAGAAGCTCTGCCAAGATTTAATAAAACAATCAAAACAAAAGGAAGGTTCCAGTAAGTATGGTTTGGCAACTTTTTCGTCTCCCTTACCCTCTGAAGTATTTCTGTGATGCTATCTGTAGAGAATCTTGAGATCTTTCGGAAGCATTGAATTTGGGGAAAATGTAAGTGTGATTTAGAATAAAAGGATTCCTATGTTTGATTTCTTTGTAAGGCCATACGTGCAGCCCATGTGAAACGAATTGGAGATATTATGGAGATAGTTGCTATGGGTTCTTCAGGCACAACTTAACCTGGGAAGAGAGTAAGCAGTACTGTACCAACATGAATGCTACTTTACTGAAGATTGCCAGCCAGAACATCCTGGTAAGGAGATGCCTATGTTAAATATTTTGGAACCATAGGAGAAAAACTCAGGTAAATACTTGACTTAAAAAAAATACTTTTCTCACGCCTTCCAGTTTTGTTCATCTAAAAATCTTATCAAGCGCAGTGAAAATTACAAAATCTAAGAATAGAAAGTGGTTAAGTAGGACTGATGAAACTTGAAGTTCTGGCCTTATCTCTGCAACAAGCCACTTAACCCTTTTTCAATTTCCTTAACTCTATGTACTAATTAATAACATAATCTGAAAATATAAAGAAATTAAATATGATTGTAAAATATAAATAACAGTGTTATCCCAATATTACATGCCTTCTCAGTTCCTGCTAAATTGTTGACAACTGAATAGGCCATAAAGCAAACTCCATTTTTTTCAGAGGCTCTCCCAAACATAATTTGGGGAGCAATCTCATTTGCAAAACACAGAAGATTTAAGTTGAAAATTTTCTAGTAAACATGTCTCCTTTTCCATACTTCCCTCTTTGACAGCTTCTAACTAAGGCTATATTTTCAAACAAAAGATGTCCACATCTTTATATTATTTAATATAGCTTTTCTTTTCATGAATCCTAGGAGCAAGCCAGAAATTAAGCCTTGGAGTCTCCCTTTTACCCAATAATGGGTTTATCAAAACATATTTTTCTTGAAGGCAAAAATTCTTTATGGTATTTATTCTGTAATTTCTAATATAGTAATTATTTACATTTTGCATATTAAAATAAAAGCAAATGTAAATGGGAATAGAAGATTAGGATTTGGGCTATGTGAGGATAGAGAATCAACAGAAATAAAATATTCAAGCCAGTCATGTTCTACAGAATCGATCTACTCGATCAGCAAAATTGACTTATAATTTCCTGAGAGCTGAAGTACACAGTAGTGGACCAGACATGAGAAGATCAGCCTAGTGGCATTCATGATCATTGTGTACCTTCTTATTTTAACTTGCTGTACCATCTACTTACTGTTTTTGTGGGCTCAGACTCATTGAGAATATATTCAGATAAATAAATTAGACTTTTCAATCAGACAAAATAAGAGAGTACCCTAAAATCTCAACGTCAATACAAAGAAATTAATTGGAGACACATAAACTTCTCTTGAATCTTATTATTTTAAGCTGATGCCAGGTTGAAGATTTATAACTAAAAGAGGAAGTGTAATTTTTGAGAAATAAAGTTGAATTTTAGACAGAATTTTAGATAGAATATCAGGTAGATATCAGGTAGATAAGATATACTTCTTATGGTAAAGTATATAACGTGGATATATTTTAAAGAAAAAAACAGGAATTAACTGAAAGGTGGTGAATGGTTCCAGTTTTAAGAAATAGGCAGTCAAAAGTGACTTTCTCTTTATGGAATGCCATTCTGTGCCTCACATGTGTGTCAGAAAACTTGAGGCATTTCTTCTTTGCCAAGAATGATTTCCCACCTCTTCGTTTTTCTGCTGAGTATGACAGTATATATGAACATTTGACCTTCATTTAATTTTGTTACCCATAAGTGGATTGATTAACTGATTAATTTGTCTATTAATTAAAAAAATATGTATTGGAATATTGGAACGATTCCAGGACCCAAACCTATGCAATTAATAAAACACATGAAAATTCCTAACCTCATCATGGAGGTTATATTCTAGTGGGAACAATAGGTAATGAACAAAATATAGTACATAATATAGTGGATAGTGATAAGTCCTAAGTAGAAAAAGGTAAATCAGGAAAAGTAGATGTATGTTATTTGTAAATTTCTTTGAGAAAAACATCCTATAATTTTCTTTTACCCAACCAATACAAGTAAATTAATACTTCTAATGTAAGATTTTGTAAGCAAGCTAAACAATGAAACCAAAGCAAGTAGAGGTTAGATCTAGGGAATATAAAGTTTCACTAACAATGTGTTTCTTTTTAATTTTCCTTCTCTAGTTGCTTATCATTTATCTCATTTAAGAGCCATATTTGGTACTCTAATTTTCAAATGATGGAAGATAAACACATAAGAAGATTAGAATATCAGCTATTTTGTGTATAATTTATTTCCTGTGTCCTATGAGTTTTTTTTAATACTAAAACAAGTGAACTTGGTACAATTCTAGACATTAAATATAATTGACTAATATTAATATAGATCTAAAGTCTAATTTTTTTTTTTGGTCCAGGGTCATATAATGAAGCTTTATCTTTATGTCGTTAAAGAACTGTTGAAGCATTCTGACCATTATATTTATTTGTGTTTTTGATAGGAATACATCAAATCCAGGACTGGATTCATTCGTTGGGTTGGATTGTCCCGCCAAAACTCTAGTGAGCTCTGGAGGTGGGAAGATGGCTCAGTTCCCTCCAAAGATGTGTAAGTCACTGGGCACTCAGAATATAAGACACAACTAACAATTTTTATTCTTGAGATACTCTAGCCTCTTGAATATAAGTTAATTAAAAGTTGGAAGGTATCTCTATACCGTACTGTGGGTTATATAAGCAGATGCTGAGTCACTTACACCCTAATCCTAAGAAGAGAACACAGCTAATAAGACAATTCCACTGTCCCTACTCTCCCATTCTTTCGCTCTTAATCTAAATCACAATCCACCTCTATTTCCAATATTTTTTTCTCATTCATTTCTACTCTTTAACTTGACTGTTGGAACATTTTATGCGTCTTGTTTTTTTAGCTTAATCTGATTCTCTTCATATATTTTAGAACAAAATTATCACCCTTATTATTTTATGGTTGAAAATTATTACTTTGTGGATTCTTTTGACTTTTCAGTAGTATTTTACCTACTCATTCAGCCTGGGGGTGTCTGAGAATCAGGCACAATATTATTCACAAGTTGGTTCTAATGTTAATGTCAGAACTAATCTAATGTAATAATGGCTACAGACAATTGAGGCAAAGGAGCCAATTACATTACAAGTTATTTAATGTGGCTTTTCAATCTCCAGTCTCAATGCCTTTTGTTCATCTTATATGTCTAAACCGCAATCTCTCCAGTTAAAAGTTAAGCTGATATCACCCCAATAAATTTAATGAAAATTTTTTTATACATTTATACTGATTAACCCAAACTTGTACAATCTGATCATTACTTAAAATTTTAATTAATTTATTCGGCAGACATTTATCAAGTATTTACTATGAGTAGGAGACAAGGATACTACAGCTACAAGCAAGCCCCCTCATAGGCCTTGGCTTTATCCCTTATCACGTGCTGCCTCGTTTACAATATTGCAGGCAAACTGGTGTTCCCTCTTTTCCTTCAACAAATCAATACACCTCAACTATAACGTGAGTTTCCCGGGAGTAGGGACTTTGTCTTTGTTTGACACTCTATCATCACCACATAAAACGGTTTTGGCACATAGTAGGTATCTCATAGACATCTGGGTAATGTGTTAGTAAATACAAATTTTTTCCCCCTTTGGTCATAAGCAGAGTAGTAGAGAATATAAACAAGTTAACAAGTAAACATTACACAGTGTGCTGTCTTATGTCTGCTACTCTATAACATAAGTCTTTATTTCAAAAATATTGATATTTAACCAACTTACTTTCCCTTGACGTCATTTCCACCCTGTGAAGCTACTTGTCTACAGAACTAATGTATTATCTTCTATGAAAAGATAAAGTCTTTCCCATCATTTCAGAGCCCCATCTTTCTCTTCCTCTGGACTGCTGTTGTAACTAGTGTTCACTTGCTTCTTAATCCTATGTTCTATTGAATTACTATTGAGCTCTTCAAATGTACATGCTTTATACTCCCAAACAGACTGGAATTTTCTCAATGATCTGAATGCTATTTTTAACTCCCTCCCCCTAATAATTTTTGTCTCTACTTTATGCAACAAAATACTACATTTGGCGTTTGATTGTTGATTACTTCTTTAGCTTTCAAAAGAACTCATGCTACCTTTTTCATTCACAGGTTTGAGCTTTCTGGAAATGGAAGAGAAAATATGAATTGTGCTTATTTTCAGAATGGGAAAATTTACCCTACCTTGTGTAAGAACAAACATTATTTAATGTGTGAGAGAAAGGCAGGCATGGCAAAGATAGGCAAACTACTTTAATGCAAAGAGATGGGCAGTATGTCATAGACCCGTGCTTGATTGTACAATAAAATATCTGAATGTAGGTATCACTAACCATAAAATTGCTTATTTTTTCCCTTTATTCATGTTGGAGTCATCTTTTTATTATCTTTCCTACCAATACCATTTAGTCCCTCCTTTATACTAAGGGGTAACAGTGTCTTCTTTATACATCCAGAAGCCAGTCTGTGAGTTGATTGTTCTTTTCTCAATAGTTCTGTTTCCATTAATTTTCTTTCTACTTGTCTTCCATTCCTCATTATCTCAACATAGTATGACTCACTGCATCTTCAGACATAAACATATACATGTTAAACTGGAACAAGAAAGGTTAGTACTTAATTGACTTGAGCTGTGCAAAATTCTTAATGTTGAAAACTATACAAAATATCTAAATCTGAAAGACAGCATTAGGTAGTGGAAAGAATACTAAACTTAGAATTAGTAAAATAATTTAGATGATGTGATCACTTAATTGAAGTACACCCATGGGCCAGTCAAGTAGCCATTTCAACTTCCATTTTCTAATATTTAAAATAGGCTAACACCCATCTTATATACCTCACAGTTCTACAACCTAAAATAAAACTGCACAATATTAACTATATCAGAAAGTCCACGAAGGCATCACTATGACTTTCCTATTCGCTACTCTCTGCCCAGCACGAAGAAGTTTCTCGTTCATAAGAGCCAGAAAAAGATTTGCTTCCCATTGTATGAGATAGTTTTATAGAAAGCAGCATAGTCAGTAAAATGCTATACATATATAATTTTGATTCCAAGTCTACCTCTTGTAAGATTCAACTGCAGTCATTTTCTGTGCAAAAAAAAAAAAAAGGAAAATAAAATTTGCAAGAAACCTGATGAGTTCTGAAAATGAATAAATGCTTCCTAACAAGGCCCATAGGCTAGTAGACAGAACAGCAAGTAAAAATACTTTTATCTCGTTCTTTTCCTGACAGCTCTGTGCTTGGTTTTTGCTGAGTAATTCATGAAGTATTTATAGATATGTGGAGAGGCACCCCTTACCAGGATAACAGGCAAAAATTGCATTTCCTTCCCACAGCTCCCCTGAAGGTACTCTTTCTCCTTAAATTAGTGGTAATAAAATTTACGAACATGATTCTCAAACATCTCAACTGAGGTATTTGTTAAAACACTAGATGTTCAAATTCAAAATAGCTGTGGTGCTCAGCTAAAAGGCTGAGGAGCCACAGAGTCTTGTGTTTTTAATAAGCACCTTTATTTGATTCTGATATAAGTTGTCTTCAATACATTTCAAAAAACATTACTTTAGCACGTACTCCTTATGTGGCTTTTAGTAAGTTAGTCTCTTTAAAACTCAGTTTCTTCATCTACAAAATGAGTTTAATATTACTACCTTACTCATAAGGTAATTGTCACAATCATTGAATGTAATAATATAAATAAGGCATTGAGCAGAGTATCAGGGCTATAATGAACATTTAATAAATATGTGTTACTTTTATAGCTTTGTGTACTAACATTCAAAGACATTTAAACCTTTCTCTTGTTTTATACTATCAATAAACAAGCAAAATTAGGGGAGGGGAGGGGGAAAATAACAGAAATACCTCAGATTCTGCTTCTACTTCAAATATCTTGAGATCTTGGCTTTTGGGGGTTAGTATCATTGTTTCTCTATTTTTCACTTGTTTATATAGAAAAAACAAAGAGGAACTAAACATTCCAAAGCCATATCTCTGAACTTTAGGGTTTTTCTCCCCCAAATGAAAAAAACATATTTATACAATACTATGGCACAACTAAATTTCAAAGAATAATATTGTACTGCATGACAAAAATGCAATTAAAAATGTAAACCAGACAGACTATGCCTACAAAGATTTTTTTTTTCTGGTATTCATATCAAAAGCATCTGATACATGAAATTAGAGTAACACAGATTTTAATATCACAGGTTCTGTGATCAGACCACCTGGGTTCAAATACTAACTCTTTTACTTAACTACATAAGTGAGCTTTGGTAAATAATTTGACTTTTCTGTGTCTCAATTTACAATTAAGTTACAGTATACTAATAATAGTGCCTATTTCATAGAGCTGTTGTAAAAATCAAAATAATTCATGTCAAAGCCCTTTGAAATAGTACTTGGAATGTAATGAATGATAGTAACAGGCAGTATGATTAAAAACATCAAAAGTAATACAAGTAACATATTACTCTTTTATTGAGAGTGCCCAATACTTCCCCAAAGAAATTTGTTAGAGAACATACTGTATTGGGGAAAGCTAGGCCTTTCTGAGTGTGATGTTTAGTGCTGACAAAATTTGAGAGAACCTGGAAAATAATGAGAACACATTGAACTTCTGTTTCTGGGTCCCTGACACTGGCCTTACTGTACTTCTGAAATGCTTATGGTTTCTTCCTCTTCTTCTTTTTAAGACAGAAATAATTCCATTGTGATTTAGTCACATTTTCTTTCAGACCAGAATCTCAAGCCACATGAAAACCATGTAAAATATTTGGAGGATTTGTGGATATTCTTCATTTGCCTCTTAAAATCTTCTTAGTCCTCTCCCCCTACCCCCCCCCCCCCCCCCCCCGCCATGCCTTGGGAGGCAGAACTCAAATGGACAGCATTATCTGGACAAACATGGCCTCTGGCTTCCAGTTAATTCAACTATAGGGGAGCATTAGCAGCTATCGGAGGGTGAAAGGAGGGACTGGTCAAGGTGTTTATTCCTCTGCTATTCCCTGTTCAAGGCAAAGTTTCTGTCAGACAGGACACAAAGTTTCGATGAACACCCTCCCCCTAATTCTTCAGGTCTAAGGGTAATAATAAGGGCTTCCCAATGCATATTTTTGCCACCCTTTTTTGCTTCCCTTAATCCTTCTCAATATTTTATAAAATAACATCTTCCTTAAATGCCCTTAGATACCCTTGAGTGCCATTTGTTTTTTTCTATTACAAGGATCAATGATTGATCCAGTGAGACACTGAAACAAAAAAAGGACATTGCAGATTATGGGGTTTACAGACTGTAAATTATTGAGACATGATCTTTGGCTGTAAGGAAAAATGGCCAATGATAATTAAAGTATCAAATTTGTCAATACCAGTGCAATAGTCACAGGATGTGACAGAAATGGCCATTTGTCTGCTAAATAATTCATGCTTTCTTTCTAGAGTGTAGTTGTCATAGAATGTTTGCTAGCCAGGCAAAAGCTATTATACATTTATCCAGCCCAACGTTTAGATCCAAACATGGGCATTACATTAGTGGATGTGGATGGGATACATGCTACTTCTATGTTATGGCTGTTAAGCAGCAGGGGTGGATTTGCCACCTTCTCTTTTCCTTTCCAATGGCTTGAAGTAGAGGACTACAATGTTTCACAAGACAGAAGGAGCCCAGGAATCATTTGGAGGACCCACTGACTAGGAATTGCTGAAGCTAAAATGTTATGTGAACAAGAAATATAATTGTATTGTGTTAAATGACTGATATTTTGAGGTTTACTTGTCACAGCAACTGCATTAGACTAATAAAGTGCGTATATTTATTTTAGGGATACTATCCCTTCCTAGCTCTTTTGTTTAATGATACACAGTGTTCTACAACTCCTTCCACCCTGGTTTGCCTAAACTGAGCTATCCTCCTATCTTTGCTACCTAGGTCATCCCCATGCTTCATGATCTACACCAAATATAAGTGCAGTCTTTTCACTTCCATACTTTTCATCTTAATAATAATCTGATATGTTCACTTTCAACATTTGCTACCTTTTAAAAACCAGAGCAATTCACATGTTCTATTATCGGCCATTTTGAGTTCAGTTCCTTTCTCATTTCCTCCTTTGACAAGTTGTACTTTGGCCTAAACTTCATAAACTTCTACTTTCTGGATGAAGATGCATTTATTCTATTCCTTAAACTTAAACATATTTTCCCATTGGTGGGAAAAGTAACCAATTTCAGTTCTTACACCAATCTGCTCCTGACTGCAAGAGGAGTTGTTTGCCTCAGCTTCTTGTGGGGACTGTGTTACCTATCAAAACATTGCAGACATGCAGGAGGAAGAAGTGTACACCTCCCTTGAGTGGGATACTCCACTACCAAACGCTTACCAGAAACATCTGTCTCCCACCAAATATTCAGGTAACCAGGTCTAATTATTTACTTCAGTACTTTGTAGTTTATGTTTTGTTTCCTGTTACCTAATGAACCCAGGTGATTTTTCTAATGAGGTAACCCACTTAAAAGTACAATAATGTGTATGATACACTAACATTAAAAAGTGAAAAGAAGTGTAAGAGGATAAGTAAAGGTGAAAAGAAAAAGAGCAATGGATTTAACAAATATGTGGTACTATCTCTATCTCTCCTTTTTCGCTCATTGGAAAAGACAAAGAATTGCTGGATTTGGAAAATAAGTGAAAGAAATCATATTTTTTATTGTTTTATTTCTGCATAAAATACTCTGCAAATTATCTGATAAACATTAAGAAATAAAGAGAAACTGAAAAACTGGCAAAATCTAATAAGCCTGGAGCTGTCTGCTGTAGTAATCAGTTCTGTCTTTATTATTTAATATTTGTATTAGTTTCCCATTGTTGATATCACAAATTACCACAGACTTAGGGGTTGAATACAACACAAATTTGTTATCTTACAGGTCTAGAGATCAGCAGTCCAAAATGGGTCCTACTGGACTGAGACCAAGGTTGGCAGGGCTGCATTCTCTCTAGAGGGTCTAGGAAAAAATCCATTCCCTTGTTTTTCCCAGTTTCTAGAGCTGCATTTCTTATTTTCCATGGCTCATGGCTCATTCCTCCATCTTCAAAGCCAGCAGCATAATGTCTGCTTCCATCATCGTATCACATTGTATCTTTTTGATCTACCTCTCACAAGGGTACAAATAAAACAGGATAACCTCCCCATACCAAGATCATTGACTTAATTACATCTTTAAAGTGTTTTTTTGTTTTTGTTTTTATTTTTCCACATAAGGTAACATTTATAAGTTCCAGAGATTGGGACATGTGCATCTTGTGCAAGGACATTATTCAGTTTATCTTACAAAGATAAATTTTATCTTTTTTTTCTCTGATTGGTGTTGGGAAGATAACAAATCACACATTCTTCATTTTTCCTTCTGAGATAATTGCAAAATTACCTGGGAAAATGTTCTTCATCCAAAATTATATGTTTAAAAGGAAATATCTGAACCAATCATGTTCAAGTGATATTGAAAAGAGATGAGAATGCAATACAGTATTTTTACTTTCAAAAATTCAAGCTTGCTACCTGGTTTGCTATAATATTTAAAACATGTTTTAAAAGAATATATATTACTAGTTAGTAAGGTTGTGCATTATATAAGGATAAGAGAAATATGATATTAAATCTGTTCAATTTGACATTTTTGTAAATCCAATGTATTCCAAGTTATAACTTGCATTTCAAAGGGTTTGAGTTCTTTTTTTTTCCCTGTTACTGTTACAAGGCCTCGACCATTCTCTAGCTGAAATGCCTAAGGTGAATTTCTTCTTTTACTCATTCTAGTCTTATCTTGGTCCATCCCTTTCACCTACTAGATAACTCTTCAAGCAAAAATTTCATTTTGGAAATTAGAGTATTTACCATAAAAATTATAATAATGCAGGATTCAGATCTTTAAAACAATTCTATAGTTATTTCAGTTTTATCTTTTACATTCCTTGCAAGCATTTAAAATCTAAAACAGCAGATTTTTACCTGTCATATAGTTTGTAAAGTATTCTATGGTTACTTAATTAGCATTTAATAACACTTACACATATAATATAGAGAATTAACTTCTCCCTAGTGGATCCCGTTTAAGTAATCTCCAATGAGAGAGGTAAAAAAAACTACCATAGCTCCTTCTGATTGAAATTCAATCCAGTAAAGGTTTAAAGAATCACTGTGTGCCCAACAACATTTTTATATTTAACAAGCTATTGCAAGCATAAGTTAGGCTCACCTCCGAGCCATCAACCTTGAGTCAATGACAGTATTCATTTTGGAGACTTTTGAATCCAGCATGTTCCCCAACCCTTCAACTGCCATTGTCAACACTAATTATGCTATAACTTTAACAGTGTTCAGGATGGATTCCAAACAAAAGATATTGAAGAGCCTTAAATAATCCAACATCTGGGCCATGGAGATTGTTAATGAACTACTTGTGACTCTCTCTAGAAACTTGAGTTGTGGAAGCTGTAGCATCTTTCCCTCTACAAAACTGTGCCAGAAACACTTCGTCGAATTCTTGCTCTTTGGTACCCCTTTTATACATTTGAGCATCCTTCTTTTGTGAATACATTCTACCTTAAGACAATATTCTATAAGACCGATTAAACCTTATGGCTAATTTCTTAGTTATAGCAAGGTCCTAAGATAAGCATACTGGCCACTTATGTATTTCTTCAGGTATCCTCATCCACAGTATTTTCAAATTACCCCTTAATGTGCATTGTTTGTTCTATTATATATGAAAAACATACATGTTTAACTCTCAGAACTTAAACATCAACTTGAGTCTTATTACTTAACTTGCTTAATGGTCCAGTACATTTCCAACTAGACTGGGCCACTAAGATGAACAGATATGAAACAACAAGCAAACAAATGAAGACTGTAAATGATGTAAACTTAAAGATTTATAAAAATAGCATAATCTGCTCAATTATTATAGAAGAGGAATAATTTGAAAACTATATTTCCCAATTAATTTTACTTTAAAATAATTCTTAGAGACCTACTGCAGTTTGAAATGATCATATACATCTTACTATAGTCAGCCTCAGAGAAACTGAAATTGGTAAGTACTGCAGAATATGAACCATTTGGTCAGAGTGATCAGCTTCACTGGGGGTTCTTTTGAGGAGATGTGTTTCTAATATTTTTACAATAATTTTACTAAAGTAAAATGTTTTTCTCAAAGCTCATAACTGCAGCCCTTGTCCACACGACTGGATTCAGAATGGAGAAAGTTGTTACCATGTCTTTCAAAATTGGAAAGTTTGCCAACAGTACAGAGGATTGCTTGAAGGAGGGTTCTAATCTTCTACAAATAGGCAGCAAAGAAGAAATGGTAAACACTATTTTTTTTTTTTTAGCTGAGCCATCCTGCTACCTGTTGGCAGCTCAGCAGCTGCTCAGCTCGGGCTCGGACTTGAACCGCTGTTGCTCAGAGCTCAAACTCTTGAGTGAGCTCTTAACCAACTGAGCCACTCGGCCGGCCCAGTAAACACTATTTTATGGCTTCATATCACCATGTTGCCCATTAAAAGGAAGGACTGAATGTAATAAGATAGAATTTCTTAATATTTTATAACAGTAGCATACTTGTTGTAATGAAGGCTTAAAAGAGATAAAGTAAGAATTAGTATAGTTTATTGACCTTTTATTTAGAGAAACAAAACACAGGATGGTTATCCAAAAATAAGAATATTTTAGTTCTCTGGCTTTTGTTAATCAAAAAGGGGAGGGGGCAAGGGAATACCACTTTGTGACTTGCTAATATACTCCAAGGTATACATACATTATAACTGTATTCATGTTTTAAATTTATTATTTTCAATGCTATAGGGATGTATAATAATCTATAACAATTTGGTAATTATCAAGGAAAAACAGAAGTATAAAAAGTGAGGTGATGTCATGAAATGGAGAGGTCTGTGAAAATAAGCATTTGCTAAACATTAAACCTAGTTTACTAACATTTTAACAAGCAAACAATAAGATGTTTCTCCAAAATCATTCTACCCATAAATACGCGTGAAGTAGAAAGATACACATTTCTGAGCTTATTAAAAATGTATGCCTATTATATTCAGTAATTAGTTGAAGTTCATTTTCACAAGAATAATGGGAGAGCAATTTGTTAAGGATATGCAATAGAACAAGGCAACTTGAACTAACATTACAATTATGGGTTTAACACTATTTATTCTGTGCAAATTTGGTAACAAAAGATAGTAATGTTTCTTCTAACAAACTATGCTTACAGTTAAGTTGCTTCTGGAATCTTCTAAACTATTTTTCATATTGACGTATACTGGGAAAAATGACCTATGTGGTCTGTGATGTGAAGACTATTTTTACTTCTGATAAAGAGGCTTCAGTATAACACTCTTTTTTTGACATATACTGTCTGCCAAACTCTAAATCTGTCAAAACTATTTTAATACCGGATGCTTATTTTTCCCATAGTCCATAACACTACATTGATCATATGACAATAGAAAAAAAAATCTATAAAATGTATTTCTTCTTTTAAATACCTCCCTCCCCTCCCCAACACTCTCTCTCTCTCTCTCTCTCTCTCTCTCTCTCTCTCTCTCTCTCTCTCTCTCTCTCTCTCTCCAGCTTTCAGTTTCCCATTAGTTTTTTTCTAGGAAAAATGGCACATTTTATATTTCGTGGTAGTTTGTTGTTGTTGCTTATTTCCCCTCTCAGTTCATCATCCCAGTCTTGTTTCTTATAGGACTTGATCACCAGCAGCCTGAAGAAGATCAAAGTGGTCATGAACATTGGGTGGGACTATCTCAGGATGGACTCACCTCACTGTGGCTTTGGCAAGGTGGCTTCTCTCCTTGCCCTGACCTGTAAGTGTCTAAGGGAAAAGTGACAAAGTTACAAGAAAAAATAGAAACATGAGGGAATTCAAATGTTCATTTTATTTTATATGTTAGATTTCCCCCAGGAGACATGACCAGCATTACAATTTCACAGGCTTCTGATTGGAATCAAAGCTGAGGTCATTTAAGAGTAGCCTCCTGGCTTCTAAATCTTCCTCCTTCCCATCCCATTGGCATTACTCTTTAGAACATTCATATCAAAGTCTGAGAGTCTGAATGAACAATATTATTTAATTACCCAGTATATTTCCTTTGTATAATTTAATGACTAGAGAGTGCTAAGGGAAAAGGAGTATAGTAATTATTAAACAATTTCCATATTAAGATTTTCAGATAGGACTAGGGAGATTGGTGAACAGAATCAGGTGCCTTAGTATTTTGAGAATTAAGCTCAAAAAAGAGATTCTAATTTGAAGCCAGTCTTAGTGTTTCTTTCTTTTCTTTTTTTAAATATGTGGCTTGTTAAAATTATATTAACTTTTTTTATATTAAAGTTTATTGGGGTGACAATGGTTAGTAAAGTTAAATAGGTTTCAGGTGTACAATTCTGTAATACATCATCTATATATTACATGTGTGTTCACCACCCAGAGTCAGCTCTCCTTCCATCACCATATATTTGTCCCCATTTACCCTCATCTACCACCCCCCTACCCCTTACCCTCTGGTAACCACTAAACTATTGTCTGTGTCTATGAGATTTTGTTTCTTTGTTTGCTTGTCTTGCTCCTTTGTTGTTTTCAGTTTTATATCCTACATATCAGTGAAATCATATAGTTTTCGACAACATTTTTATTGAGAGAAAACAGCTGTTATTTGAAGAAGGAGTACAAAACTACTACAGGAGGGTACCATATTAAAACAAAATAAAACAAACACAAAGCTATGTGCCCCTCATTAGTTACCCACAAGGACGTCACCATAAGCCCCATACTTAACCTCAGATATACTGACTTGCCTCTCCAGGTTGCCAACACAGAGACCCAAATCAACTCACCAGTGCTGTGGATATCTCAAAGACAAGTTTCTTTTTTTCTCTAACTGCACCAGTTGGAAGTACTTTATCTGTGAGAAGTATGTGTTAAGATTCTCTACCTGTAAGAAATTGTGCTCAAAGTGACCTATTGTAATAGTGTTTGGAACAGGTTGTTGGAAAACCTGCCACAAAATGCCAAACAGCAAATGCAGAAATAACCCAAGGTGTGTGTGAGAGAACTCGCAACTTGGGATTCAAACCTTATGTTTGCATTTACACTGGGTAATGTTCTTCAATATTTGCCAGATGTTCATGTTAATTTGGCATTGTTCAAATTGCCAAGAATAAAATTGACTCAAGAGTTATAGAGGACAAAATCCTGTAGGTTGAGAACAAATGGAAGAAAAATCATTCCCATATGTCATTTTTAATTTTTCACTATGTTTTTTTTAAGTCTAGAGAGACTATAAAAACTCCACACAGAAATCTATAAATCACTGGGGAGATGATGCAGTTGATATTTTCTTAAATAAATAAGGCCTTAAACTCACTGTCTGCCAGATTTTTCTACACATTTGCAGGCTCCCGGGCATTATGCCATCAGACTAGTGGGATGGGAGGACGAAGATATGGATTTTCAAATTGGAAGGAAAACAGGCTGCTTTCTGCTGTCTGTAAGACAGTAACCTTTTCAGTACTGCATAATTCTACCAGAGAGATGAAACACCATAACTCCACATAAGTGGAAGGAATAGTCTGGCTGCTAATACCGACATGTCTCCAGGGAGGACAGCTATAAGCTTCCTTCCCCACTCTTACGACCATCCCCACCACTCCCAAATCAAATGACTCACAACCTGGACTCTCAAGGTTAGTGCTTCAGCACTTCTAACTGCATCTATCTGTGCCTCAATTTTTTCATTGTAAAATAATAACAGGTCTGATTTCAAAATATCTTTGAGGCTTAAATCCTTAATATGTGTAAATTGCTGAGAATATACCTTGCATAGAGTATTATAGTGTATCAGTGTTTGCTATTCTTCTCTGGGATAAATCACCAATCATTAGGCATCAACCTTATATGTGTATTACAGACAAAAATGACCCCTTTTCCTGCTCATGTTATGGGAATAATAAGAAGATAAAGTTTATATGTAAAATGTCAGCAACTATCTAGATACAATATCTGTTTTAAAGTGAATGAATCTCCTCAAATAAATTTATAGACAACCTGTGTCCTAGGTTTTCAGGCTCCTTGAATGTGGATTAGCTCGTTCCCAAGAGACAATGGATATAAAAGTATCTTGTGATCTATAGGAAGCAAAAATTCACTAATTATTATTACATTACTCTTCTATACACTTACCATCCCTAGAAGAACTTACTACACTGTAGGTTCTCATCAAATATTTGCTAAATTCAATATAATCTTATTTAACCTTTCAGTTTTCTCAAAGATTAGCTGAGCTACACTAGAGTCTCATCTTTCTTTATACTAAAGACACCACTTAATTAAATAAAGTAAAATAAAACCTAATTTAGAAAAACAGTGAAAAATCACTTAAATGAATCTAGAAGTCTATCATAGTAAGTGACCTCTGAAGGATTTTGTGAGGTATTTTTGTCTGTTCGTTTCCTCTTGACCTGGAGTTAAAATGGTGGGGATTGCAATAACAGGGATTTCGATAAAAGGGGATTTTTCTCTAGTTTTCTGAGGAAAGTAGAAAAGGAGAAGAGCAAAACAGCATAAGTTGTCTCCTGTGTTTGGTTTTCACAGCTGGCAGCTGGCAGCTGGCAGCTGAATATAATAACCTGGAATGAAAGAGAAACAATGGCAAATTTTAACAGTAAAGACTGTTTGTCTTCAAGGCTCTCCAAAGTATTGTCATGGAGCTATGTTTAGAGAAAGGATAGGAAGCATTTAATAACTCTTTTTAGAAAAAGTACAAGGAAGCAAAAGGCAAACATCCTTCAGCTGATGTCACCCCACCATTATGTGATGCTGTGTTTACAAGTCAGAATTTTATCTCCAGTGCAGCTGGCATAAGCACCTACAAATTCCATCAGTGGCAATATTGCTTTCCACACAGATATTATGAGTAGAAAATTTTCTTCCTGTAAGTTGCTTTTGGCCCAGAATATCAAGGCCTTTTCAAGGCAGTGGGAAGAGGGACTGAGCCTTAGCACTGGGACAAACAGTTTTATATCCTAGTCCCTCCGGGAATCAATTGGGTATCTTGATTCATCTCATTGAGTTCCAAGTTAACTTTAAAAATATGAAAAGGAAACATACAACTGTGTCCTACATAACATAAAGGCGCTTTGTTATGTGCTCTGGTTAAAGTACATTAAGTGTGTAAAAAGAACATTAGAAGAGTGAGATTTATAGAATAATAGTATTATTAGATTCTAAAAATCTGTTCATACAGTGAACCTCCTTAAAAAGCTATGTACTCTTTAAACACATTATGCTGCTTTTTGTATTCTTCAAAAATGGCAATAATCCCTTTACAAAGTATTTGACTCCTAGATATGAAGGCCTACCCTGAGGCAACCTATTAGACTTTTCTACTTATTTCATGATCTGTTTATATCCCCGAAGTTAAAGCTCCCACTGCACTCCTCATACTTCCTGCTGTTACAGGGCTCATGACCTGTTTCCTGTTGATAAGTTTTAAGAACTGGTTCAATATCCTCAGGAAAAGAAATAGCTCATTGTGTACCCTGGGGAACTCAGATCTACCAAGAAAGGCCATGTTCCTCGTTTGACTTTTCCTGCAATTTCTTCAGAGGAACCTAAACACATGACAGCCCAGAAGAGAAAAGTTTTTCTCTTCCTGAAAAACTAACTCATGGATGCTGCCTTCTCTGATTCTCAATGGAAAGTTGTTCTCAGCAAGTCATATTTTCAAATTCATGTTATGATTATTTTCTATTCATTTTTTTTTCATTTGTGGAGAGAAGGTTGTGCCATATTCTTTCGCTGTTCTTTTGAAATAATTGCTCATATTGTTATCAGTGGGTCCTGCTATACAGATGAGGGGATTATTGAGGGCAAAGATGGAGGGAAAGAAGCTCAAGAATAGCCAAAAATGTTAAATAAATGCTATTTTTTTTCCTTCCTCACCATCTAAAGTAACATTTTCCCTTAGGTGGCAGATTTGAAGAAAGGATACTATTCAACACCCAGTCTCCAGGCAGCTAGACCTTTAAAGCAATGTCGTTTAAAGAGGCATTTGTCATCCAACCCTGAACTAGATGATAGTTATGTAGGATGCCAAGGGTCAAAATTTGTGTGCATTGTCTTCATTTTACAAGTTAGTCCGCAAAGTCATTTGACTTTCTCATATGAACCACATTTTCTTTCTGTAGTAGCAGTGCTTAAATAACACTTAATTGCTTGACAAAAAGCTTAATCCACATTTATAGGTATGTGCTTATTACATTAACTGTGTGCATTAAATATCTGCACCCACCCTAGAAAATATTTTATAATATCCGCAGCTCCTCATTGTTGGTATCTCTCTACAATTTGCTCATGAATACAGGTCTCCAAAGAAGGTTGTTTATGCTCATTTGTGCTCCCCTATTTTTAAAAATAATCACTAAATCCTCTCTCCCCTTTTAAACATATTTTAATATTCTTTAAATTTTGTATTACTATTTAGCCTATGAAACTAATTTCACATATACCTCACTTCAGCCAACAGTTACACTGTGAGAAAATTATAAATATTTCCACTTTATACTTAATGGAATAAGCTTCTGGAAGTGAAGTTATTTTTTTGCAATAATACATGAAAATAAAGGGTCTAAAACTCTCAATTTGTGATCACAATGAAGTTCTCTTTGCATAACACAATAAATCAACACAAAATTTGCTCAACATTGAAAAAATTTCCTAGCTAATCAACAAAAACGTCTTAAGGAAAAAATATACAACTAGTGATTGATAAGTCACACAGTCTTATGAAAATAAATACAAAAGTGTTCTCTTTATCATTTGTTTGCTAACTTAATGTCATGTCACATGAGATAGATGCTTACTGAAAATAAATATAAGAACCCAAGTTCTCACTGTTGAAAATAAAGATTTATAATAAATTATCCTTCCTACTGTTAACCCCCTCAAATTGATTTATCTATAAACTCACAAAGCCAGTGTTTGTGATGGCGTTATTGGCAACGACCCCTGTTACAGTTGTGCACATTGTCATCCTGAGAAAGGGACAGCTACACAAGATACCAGCTATGTATACAAACGTCAGTCACTCCCTTTCGTGACCTGAGTGGGTAACATGCCCTATTGCAATTTGAATTTACTCATCTTTAGCCATGTATTGATGACATAAAGAGTCAAAGGATTTCATTTTAGGAAACTATTAAAACCATCCTCTTAAGGAAAAAAATGCATCTCAAAGACTTCTTATTTTCTTAAAGTAATCAAATAATCAGTACTCTTTCTAGAGTCCCTACAACCTCTCAGTAAGGGACAAACCACCAAAATATTAACTGCTGTCATATTTTGAAGAGCATTTCCACACTGAATTTTTCCCCAAATCACAAGTCCATTCTAAAATCACATACAGTTCACATTATTTACATTTATTATTATTAAATATTTAGTACCTGCAAGGTATAAACATGGATTGAATGGAAGAAAATAGGAACTGAACCCAAACTATTCCAGATGCACATACACAGACTGACTTTTTCTAGTGTTCATTCTCTCTAAATGCAGCATCAGGAACAGTAATTCTGATATGGAATTGAGCTGAGAATATTTCTTTCCTAGAAGAAACACCTAAAGAAAGGAGACAATCATTGAATCTTAAATGGACAGTGGGAGGTATGTCTTTAAGAAGTTAAGATACTAATAAAGAGAATTAGTCCAGTGGGAAGCAGGCCATAGACATGGCAGATGGGACCTTTATTCAAAGATTGAGAAGGAAAAAAACACATATATGAACTAAAGAAAACAAAAAGAATAAGTTGTGTATTTGGTAGCACAGTATAAGGACTGATTGGTAATTTCTCATGGACTATTTGACTGTTGGAGCAAAGAGTGTTACATACACTTATTTCTTTGCTTTAAGTTTCTCACTTCTCCAAATTTTAAGGTGGACATGAAAACAGGGAGATGATATGAGATGCTGAGAGGGAAGAACACTAGAAAGTTATCTCAAAGTCAAGAAGATGGATTACAACTATATGGGTTTCTGGGGACACTTGGTGATACATAAATAAGACTTCTCTGCGACTAATAAATATGTGCATGAAGTCAAGTTCAGAAGTGCTGGTGATCCTGAGCAGGAAATATGAAAATCCTTCTTGTGCCAGCCAGAGGGATTGCCTTTCCTGGTTTTTCTTTTTCTTTTTCTTTTTTTTGCTTTTGTGTTTTCTACTTCCCAATGTCTCAGTATCCCTTGCATTGACATTACTTGGCTCAATCTTTTTGTTCAATTGTTGTATAAACATGGATCAAATTAAGAAAATAGGAACTGAAATCAAACTATTACAAGTGCAACTTTTGTTCTGATCTTCAGCTTCTCTGAAGGGAGCTTGAAGTCGGAGTTGTGGCTGGAGAGTCAATTACCTCCATGTAACAGTTCAAAGGAGCTAGTGGAGTCTGTCTATCTTGACTGTGGCTGCTGTTTTCTCACACGCACACCGCCTCAACTCTTTGCAGTCCTTTGAGAAAGCCTTTCCATTGAGGATGGTCACACAGTCCCTGTTTCTTAGGCTGGTGACATCTATAATTATTTCAAATCTTAAAAGAGAAAACAAAAAGTTAATTTAATCATAGTTTGTTTCTAAAATGAAATATTAAGTACCCAAGAAAGTATATAGGAAGTATTCATAGCTGGATGAAATTATACAATAGATGCCCAGAATGAGTTTGCTGGAAAGATGGGGTCACCAAGTCCTTTTTTTTTTCATCCCCTCAATTTCCACGGTCATTTTTAGAAGCATCAGGTCACCCAAAACAACAAAAACTGTTTATAACTAATATTACGTTATACATTATAACCCAAACTTAACATATAATTTTACTGCCATCTGAAAAATTATCTACCTTCAGTTTACTTAAAAATTATCTGCTCAGTTTACTTAACTATGAAATAAAAATGGTTACATGGAATATGTTCTATTTCCTGGGAGAAGAAAGGTGTCTGTTTAAATAAGGCTTTCAATTACATATTACATTTACCTATTTCAAAGGATATTATGAACTCTCCTATCTGAATACTCACATAAGTAATACTAATTTTTGATAATATTATTATGTCATCAGTAAATCTATTCTCAGAGAGTGCATTTTTAAAGATGTGCTCTCCATTTCAATGCACATCTGAGAAAGCCAAGAAATCATAGATCTTATACTATCTCTGGGAATTGACAAGTTGTGAAGTTTTGTGACTTTAGGCAAGTCACCATTACAACCTGGGCTTCAGTTTTATTCATTCATAAAAGATTTCTCCATTCCCCTCCCTCCCTTCCTCTCCCTTCCCCTCCCCTCTCCTTCTTTAGGGAATCCCAGGCACTTTTAATGTTCCAAGAAACTTCAGGCTCTAAAACAAAAATTTCTAAAAGCAACCAGACGAAGCACTTTCTCTATTATTTTACTGATGCTGTGTATCTGTCTCCCTCTCCACTGTATACACCATTCAAGAGCAAGAGCTACAAAGCAGATGTTCCATTAAAACTTACTGAACCAAATTGTTGAACTCTGTCACTCAATACTATGTCTCTATTAAATGCCTTTGCAACAAAATACTCTGAAGGCTTACAGTTCAGAGGCATAAGGGGCTCCATCCAACCACAGCCAGGCCTTGCCACTGCCATTGCGGGATAGCCCTGTCCAGTATGAGTAGAAAAACTCAGTGTAGCTCTGAGGCATGGCAAACTCCTGTGAAAGACGCAGAAGAAAACCTTTAGCTTCAGAAATATTATTATATGTAAAGACATACAGAGAGATGTGGAGGGCCAGCCAACACTTTTCACATGAGACTTGCATGAGTCCTGTGTCACATAGATGACAGTACCCTTGAGAGGAAAGCGTTTGTGCTATCAGTGACTGTGCCCAAGTCAAAGAATTTATTTTGTTTTAATAAGCCTGGAATTTATACTGATAATCTGGAAACCAAGAATCACATCACCCAAGGTTTATAAATGATCCATTATTTTCAAGTCACAGGGTAAATACTAGGATTGATATAAAAAAAATACAGGAGACAGATTTACAAAAAGATGTAGAGTGATTCTGGGAAATGGAAGAATATGGGAAGAAAAGTGCAGGAATGGGAAAATAACCTTTATAAATACATGAGAAAGGGACTGACCAGGTTGGAGGAAAAGAAATGAATATGCTTTGATGCAAAAAGAGGTAAAATAAGAATTTGGAAGGACAATTTATGTCTCAGACAAGGAAGGGAAGAAAGAAAACATCTTCGTGTGTGTGCGTGCGTGTGTGTGTGTGTGTGTGTGTGTGTGTGTGTGTGTCTGAGTGCAAAAAATGGGAGAGTCTGTGGACCTTGCCTCCTTAGACTCTTCTTATATAAAATTTTTAAAGACCTGTTTTTGGGAATACCTCGAACACTGACAAAAACTCAGCACCTTACCAGCACTTCTTGTGTGTTTATCTTCAACATGGTTGAGTGCTCAGCAATGCAGAAATGTTCACAGCCTTGCCAACTCCTGCTCTCTTTATAGAACTGGTAGCATTTGTCCCCATGCCACTTCCATTTTTCTGGGCAAGGGCTACATCTGTGCTCTTGGAAAGAAACCGATTTTCATAAGTTATTTTTTACCCAGGTTTGCTGTTTTTCCACTTTTGAAATTATACAGTATTTGATGACCCAAGAAAGAACGGATTCCCTTTCTCTTAGAAATGATATTTCATTGCCCAGGCAATAACTATAAATGTTTACCTAACACCCACTGTGTGCTTTGAATTGTAATTGGTACTGAGCATACAGAGGAAATTAAAACAGACACTACCTGCTTTCATGGATATGGAATGTAGCAATGAATGATTGGAACATTCTTGCCCTTTTCCCTGTGCAGCTCAGCATACAGAGAGCATATTCAATTTCATAAAGAACTGTCCCCATGTTCAGAAACTCAATATGTATTGTACTTAAGAAACATTTGAAGTTCTATAATTTTCTTCCTCAAAAATCCTCTTCTATAAGAGAAAAATGATTTTTTTAAATGCAATACATACCAATAGGATATGACCCCTGCTCATTCTAAAGACAAGTAAATACGATTTTAGAAAAAATTACATGAATACTAAAGCCAAGCATGAATTAGGATGGTAAATCTCCATGTATCAGAAATTAAGAAGGGCATCAAAGTTAGAGAAGTAAGAGCATAGGTCAAGGGTGAGATGAACTACGTGAGTAGTGGCTGTAAATAATATAGGAACTAGGCCCTGAGAGCCATGGTTTTAACACCTATATGGGAACATGGGCTTGGGCCTTTGAGCATTGGGGCCTGTAACCAACACCCTTGTGGGTAAATGGTGGGATAGGAGCTCAATAATTCCATAAACATGTCCTTATTTTAAAAATCCAGTGTCAAAATACTGACATGTTAAACTGAATGGTCACACACAAATGGATATTATATTATTGTTTGTAGTTTTCTGTATAATTGAAATATTTCATGAGCTAAAGCAAAGTTTTAAATAAATAATTTAGGAGATTTCTTTGCAAGCCAGTTTGTACTTCTGTCCCAGACCTTATTTCTTATATACCATACTGCCTATTCATATCTCCATTTTGATATCTAAATTCTATTTCAAATTCAACATGCCCAAAACGCATTCCTGGTTTCTAACCTTCCCCCTAGAACCACAGAATTCTTCCCCATATCACTTGATCTCATCATTATGATTCTAGTTGCTTTGTCCAAAAACTCTGGAGATAGCTGTGACTCCTGCATTTCTCTCACACTCCATTTTATTCCATCATGCATTCATCTCCACTGATAACATCCTAGTTTGAGACGCCATCATCTCTCCTGGATTACTGCAATAGCCATCTGTTATGCAATTTTTCTGTTTCTATCCTTCCCTATTCCAGTCTATTTGCAACATATTTGCAGGGATAGCCTTTAACAATTCATGTCAGGCCCATATTTCCTCCACTCAAGATCTTGTCAAGAATCCTCACTTTGCTTAAAATAGACGCTAAATCCCTTACAATGTCCCCTAATGCCATAAATACTCCCTCACTCTGCTCCAGGAACACAGGGTCCTTATTATTCCTTGAATATGCAGATATATTCACATTTTAGGGCTCTTACACTTCTTTTTCCCCCATGAGGGTATTCTACCTCCATATATATACATGGCTAAGGCCCTCAACTCTTCAAATCTTTGCTTCTATATCATCATCTTAATTAGGAATTTATGGTATCCCTATTTAAATTAGCAACCCACCATCTGTGAACCTCTAATCCCCCTTACCTTGTCTACTTTATTTCCTATATGATTAATTACCTTCTTACGTATGATGTTTAGGTTGACCAACCATTCTTGTATGCCTGGAATCCAGGGTTTCCCAGAACTCAGGACTTGCAGTTCTAAAACTGGAAAAGTTTTGCACAAACTTGGACAAGCTGGTCATCTTATTTTATGTTTTTAAGTCCATTTATTACTACCACCCCAACAGTGTAAGAGGTTCGTGAAGAAAGAACTCTTCGTGTTTTGTATTGTATGTATCATGAAGAAAGAACTCTTCGTGTTTTGTATTGTATGTATTGTGAAGAAAGAACTCTTCGTGTTTTGTATTGTATGTATCAGTAAGTGCTCAATAAATACTAATTGAGTGGATGGATAATGAGAAAGAGGAAAGTAAGAAATCGAGGGGAGGGGCCGGCCGAGTGGCGCGATGGTTAAGAACTCGCTTGGGATGCCAGAGGGCCCCGGTTCGGATCCCACATATGAGGGCCAGTGACACTGCCCTCCACAGCTAAGATGCTGAACAACAGCTCAACCTGGAGCTGGGCTGCCATGAGTCGCCGGCGACGGCGTGGGCTGCAGTTCCTGTGGCAGTGGATTGCCATGGGCTACCCTGTGTGGCCAGCAGCCAGCGTGAGCGGCCAGCAGCCGCAGTGAGCGGCCGTCCAGAAGCCGGCGACTGATCTGCCTCGCCAGAGAAGAGCGCAATGATGGTGCCAACTTGGGCCAGTGAAGCAACGTCCTCCACAGCTAGACTGAAGAACAAAACAACAGCAACTTGTCTGTTCCCCTTCCTCCAATTCCCCACCGCTGTTCCCATCCCCCCAATTCCCCAATAAAAAATCTTAAAAAAAAAAAAAAGAAATCGAGGGGAACAAAATAAAACTAACATCAAACCAAAATTATATGAGCATTTTCATGAGAATAAAGAACATCATTAATACATTTGCATGTATTGTAGATTTTACTTCTAAACTAAATATAGTTTATTTGTATAACTTTTTTATTTGTTTTTATACAACTTGATGTAAATGCCAGAGACCATTCATGTCACAGAAACTTGGGTTACCTTTTGATGATGTGGCATCCAACAAATAAAATAATATACCCTGGGCTATCAGAAACATGAGAAGAAGAAGGGGGGGGGAATACATGACATGGTAGATGTGTTAATTATCTTGATCTTGATAATCACTGTATAATGTATGTGTATATCAAAACATTGCATTGTACCCTTTAATATATACCATTATATTTATCAATTATTTCTCAATAAAATTAAAAAAGAAAAAAGACAAGAAAGAAAATTGTGACCAGTGAGATCATTAATCATGTGGGAAAGAATCACTTAGGGAAGTGAAAGTGAGCCTATTGATATTATTTACTGGGTAACTAGGCAATCAGGCTGTTGTGTTAGTGTGGGACAGGGTGCATTACTGGAAGATGGAGAGGCTGCATCCTAATGTAGAGCCCTTGAAAGAAAAATAAAAAGTGGAGACTTGGAAATATATGTTGCTTCCTACGCATGCCTGAGGAGGAGAACAGAAGGGAAGGCTGACTTGAATAGAGTTGGACACGATGAAACACAAGAGGATAGGAAATAAAAAGACACAGGAATGAGGTGATGCTTCTAGTCTTGTTCAGCAGTGTTTATCAGAGCTTGCTTCATCTGCCATTGGCATTGTCATCACAGGCGGTTCTCATTAAAAATGTAGATTTTCAGTACCCAGACAAATCATACTGAATTAAAATAACTGCAATTTAATTCAGATTATCAGTATTTTTAACCTGCATGATTCTTAAGATTATCAGTATTTTTAACCTGCATGATTCTTAAAATTTGAGAGCTATAGCGATAAGTTCATTAAGTTCTTAATGGGAAAGGATTTGTAAAGGCATTATCAAATGCATACTACTGTTAGGCCTCCATGTGCCAAGGTAAATTGAGGAATAGCCCTGTATGTTATTTACTTGTAGTGCTATTTTGGTTATTTGAAGTTAATTGTTTTTATTGTTTAAAATGTCTGAATTTGAAGAATTCTTTCATGTATGGTAACACAGATGTATCTGAACTAAATGATCTCAATAACTGGAGATGCTCGGGATGCCCAAAGTCTGTATGAAGTTTACCAGCCACTAGTTAAATAGTCCAACCTGGTCAATTAACACAGTGGTTCCCAGGTACATTGACGGCAAGGTCAGGTCCGTGCTGACAGGTATCCTGAGGGCAGAGCGGACATGAGGGGATGGGGGGGGGGAGGGTCGCGATCAGGACTCACTTACCTCCAGTTTTGTTATAGAGCTCACGGCAGAGTTTTTCAGCCACACGCTGCAGGGTTTCGACAAGCTTCTTGTTCTGAGCTTCGAGAGATTGCAGCTGTCGGGAGAGATTTCCCAATCTTTCTTCCTTTTCAGAAATACTGTCTTGCTGACTATTGGAGAGCTGGTAGTACTGAAAAACTAACCCAAGTTACTAAGTCAGAATGGAGAGCTTTTGTCTTCATTTCTATTTCTATTTTCGACACATGGTGAACATGGTGAACACAAAACAGTATATGGTTTATGATCTCAGGCCCTGAGATCTCACATCACCTATATTCAAGTTTGGGCTGTAGTTCACAATAAATTGTATTACCATAGGAAAATTAACTTCTCTAAGTCTGTGTTTTTTTAATCTGAAATGTGGAATGATAATAATAATTTCTGATTTCAGGAATAAATTCCTTAGCCGTACTTACTGCTCAATAAACATTTTTGTGTATATTCTCAAACCATTACTCAACATGAAACCACAACTCCATTTATTCTTTGATCATTATATTGAGTATTGACCATGTACCATACCTTATCTCATTCAGTCATTAAAATAGTTATGTTATCATTTCTATATTTTTATAGATTTGCAATTGAGCTCAATGAGAACAAGTAACTTCTTTAATATTATTTGGCTGGAAAAATTCAACATTTAGGTTTAAACTCTAGGTTAGGTTTCAAAATCTAAGTAGAGAAATGTTTCATGAATCATGAAAGCTGCTTCATATCCCTAAAGAGAACAGTGTTTTCAAAACAATAGTTTTATCAAAGTAAAGTAAAGTTTGGGGAGGTCCGGATAGAAACACTAAGAAATACAATTTTTTTTAATTTGAAAATTGTGAACAAAAGTTTTAAAATTTCCTATAAAAAACAAATTTTTGATATTAAAATCTTCTTTTCTATGTAACTTTTAACCTTGAACCACCTTCTTCAACTGTTTAGGAAACTGCTGTAGGGTGTAGATCTGATGATGCAAATTTACCCACTTCCTTTTTTACATTTTTCAACTTGTCCTTACTAGTTTGAAGTTTAAATACTTTCACGCATGCATTTTTCCTTGTTTGAGTTTCACAAGTTTATGCAAAATAATTTTATAACTTTTTGAAAAATATATTAGATTTATTAAGGACCTGATCTGTTCTTACATTTTGCAGATGGGATATAAATAAAATCTCTTCCCTCTGCATCAAGCCCACTGAGCCAGTCATACTAAAAGCAAAAAACCATCCCCTGTACTCTTTTGTGGAATGGAAGAGGGCTGAAGCATGCATTCATTAAAAACTGTTGATTTTAAATATTGGCATATAAACAAACAGATGAAAATCTTCTTCTCTCCAACAGAACATAAGAGTCTAGCTGGCAAGTGATTACTGTATTTTAATGCTTCTTCCACTACTCATCACATACATTGGTACTTTAGAAAAAGACACAATGAATTATCCACAGGCTCCAGAATTACAGTTAAAAAAAAAATCCATAACAAGTATTTCTCATCCTGGACAAACCTTGGAACCAGGATCCTCCCCCATGTCAGAGCGCAGACTTACACACAAGCCCCAGCGCTGCCAGGCCAATCAGCAGCACCAGGCACAAAGTCAGCAGGGTCAGGGCCACTGGACGCCAAGCTAAAGAGGGAGGCTGGTGCTCTGCAGGAACAAAAGAAGAGGCAGGGTTTCGCCCTTTCTTCCTCTTGGATCTGTCTCAGCAGCAAGCGAGAGGAGTCGATTCTGGGAAAGAACATATTCTGCAGGACAACAGTAATCAGGGGCTAGATAACATTCCTTCTGTCCTCAGAAACTGTCAGCAGGCCCCGTGCCAAGCCTCACTCAGCAGGACTGGATTCTTTCACCAGCCCCACCCATTTCCACCCCCCACACCCACCCAGTCCTACTTTGCACCGAATCAGGTTATGCATTGCCATTCATTATCTTTATATGGTTGTTTGTATAACCTTATTTTTGACAAAATTCGAGTTATGAAAGACTCTCATGAAAATGCCTTAAGAGAAAAACAAGTTTTCACATCATCAGAGAAGAGACGAAATTAAATTTCGTTACTTTTGCAAAACGCCACCCCACTCCAAAGTCCCATATATGCTTCCTCTACCAAGCAAATTGCATATCAGTAATGAGAAATGATTATTTTGCGGTTTCTTTTTGGGGTTTCTATGTTGAAAGTCCCTCTTTTGTAAGGATTTTGTTTCTTCATTCATTTAATTTATATTTCTTCAAAAATAGATTATAGAGAAATACCATCATCAATTTCTCAAGGATGGACCTAATCTATCTCAATCTTGAGCCAATTAAAAAGCTGTAAGCAGCATCCCACAAGTTTGCCTTGTGGTAATTTTAGGGGTCTGCTTAGTGGAAAGTAAACCCAGCACCTAGTGGGGTCAGCTATCAATCTGAGTGACCTGAGATATCTGACAAGGAAGACCCCCCAATCAGGTGCTGGTAGCACCTAACACTGTGATTAAAATAAAACAAAGGGAGAGAAACTCTCAAACAAACTGATCTCTTCATGACCTGTGTGTTTTACTTCCCTGGGCATTCAAGTCAGGTTCCAAAACAGAAACATCAAAGAAACATAAATTCATTTCCTCTTTAGAAAAGCCCTCTATATAATGTATTCTAGGTACAGAGGCTTATGCTAAATATTATTTCCAAATAGGAAATGATAGGTGGTAAATATAGTATAAAAATAGGAAATCTTGTTACTATTCTTTGGAACTTACAGTCTAGCAGGGAAAATAAGTAAAAATCACAGAGCAGACATTGATATATTTTAAAATGTGAATCTTATTTTCCCTTAATGACCATATCTTTCATAAAAACGTCCAATGGCTTGAATTACAATTAGAATAAAATCCAAATTGCTTTTCGTAAAGACTCAGATTGTTCTTTTTAAAAAATGGAAAATTGATTACGGTGCTTCCTGAATTAAACACTTCCAATAGCTTTATTGCACTTAGAATAAAATTCTACAAGAGCGTTTTTCACGTAGATCCTATTTTATCCTTTTCTGCACTATGCCCTCATTCAAATGCCCTCCTCACAGTGGCTTGTTTATCCTTGAAACAAACAAGCTTGTCCCTAGTACCTTTGTGTTAGCCCTGCCTCTACCCCTGTGTTAGGTAATCCTCAGATGGGTTATTGGTAGGTGACTTCCTGTTACTCAGGTTTAAGGCACATCCCTGGGAGAGGCCCATGTGTCCATCACAAGCACACACACCCCCATTGTGTATGTTCTTTAAAATAAGATTTTTAAGTATTATTTTCATGGTTTTTCTTTGTTTTTATCTATCTCCTCCCCCTTGAGTACATTCTATTAAAACAGTGATCTTGTCTATCTTGTTCACCAGTGTTATTTCCAGTACTACAAGTAGTGCCTGGCACAAAAGGGCTGAATACATATTTGAATGAGTAAATGAATGAAGAATGAAATTATGAAAAATTAAAATGACCTAAACTGTGTAACTTTTACAAAGGCACAGAAGATGATCTAAAGTTAAACCTTATTGGTTTTAAAAATCTCTTGACTTTTCAGCAATATTTTTGTCAGCAGACGGGAGACATCTAAATTCATCTCCCAGCTGTACTGGTTTCTAGACACTGACATGTGACATTCTGAATCATGAACAGATCCCAGAGAGATTCGCTTTCTCCCCTACTTCTTTTCACTAGCTGGCCCATGTGGTTTGCTCTAATTTTCCTGAATATTGCTGATTTCTCAAGTTATTGCCCTGAAGGGTATCTCGGCTCAAAAGGCTCTTGCATGAAAAAAGCAAGAGTCTAAACATCCTCTCTAAAACCCAAAGTCTTTTTAAAAATCTGTATAGCCAAAGAACATTAACCACGTGGCTGTTTCTAGATTCCAGAGGCACAAGTGCACCAACTACCATGGTGGCTTTATTTTTCACCATATTTCTTAATACCATCAAATATATTAAAAATCTTATTTCTTTTGGTTTATATCTGTCTTACCCTAGGAAAGTAAGCTTTTTCTGGGAAAAGATCATTGTCTGTTTAGCATGTAGGACATAAGTTGAAAAAAGCTTAATAAATGTTGAATGAATGAATGAATGAATGTGTCTATTATATATAAATATCTCTGTTATATGCCCCTCTACCCCTGCTCAGATGTATTTACATTATTACAAATGTAAAAGGAATGAGTTTTTAAAATGCTGTCCCTTTTATGATTAATATTTCTTTGGCCAAAATTAGAAGTAATAAGGTAAAGGAGAAGAACTATGAAATCAATCTATTAATTCCTTAAGAAACCTGTTTTCCGTTTTATAATATAAATATAAAGGAAAGTGTTGATTTTCTGTCCAAAGGATCAAAAAGAGTAAAGTTAAATCCTTGCTGTGGAGTGAAGGCATGGACTTTAGGGATTAGGATGTTATTTAATAATAATTATATCCACGTAAAGAATAAATACATGATCCTTCCTAAGGCTGCCTCTAGGACAGAATAAGAGAGAAGTGTAGTAAATCTTTGGTTAAGAAAACAATTTAAAAAATTCCCTTCTAAAGAATCATCTTTCCTTGATCATTTGGAAATTTTTCTACTTTGACACACTTCTCTCTCCCTCTCTCCCTCCCTCCCTCTCTCTCTTTCTTCCTCCCTCTTTCCCCCTTTTCTCCCTCAATATTTACAGTCTGCTCCTATTTTATCTAAAGACCCAGAGAAGCACAATTCTAGGGAGTTTCTATACCAGGTATGGTCATTTCTTAGGAAATCAGGCTTCCATGATGGAAAGACTATGGAGTTGAAAGTTTCACTTTTTCTTTTTCTTTGATGCTGTTTTCCCCCTCTAAGTATTTTTCTTTTTTTCTAACTGTGGGCTTAATATTCCTGAGTTTTATTTCAAGTTCCCCTGATTATAATGAATTCTCTCTCTAGGGGCCATTCTCACACTAAAATAAGAAAAATAAGCTGCTTTGGAGGTGTTTCAGCTTGGTTTGGCTTTATTGTGTCTTTATTTCTTGGAAGAAAACTCCCATGCTGTCTCCTGAGGCGTGTTTAGAAGGAGGTGTGGACATGCCAAAGAATGATATAAACATCCCTAGGAATAATAATATATATATATAGAAAAAAACAAACAAACCCTTCCCTGTATCCTCTTACTGTAACTATGCTATAAGAGGCTACAGTGTTAAGATCAAGTTTTGAATACAAATTCCTTTGTAGTTATAAAAAACTTTGTGGATGAAGAGAGTTGTCATATTAAACCAGTTACGCTTCATCTGGCATCATAGAGGGGAAATTTTATACACTTCAATTTCTTGGGCTTATAAGAAATGAAACAGACATTATGAAAAGTAGCCTATGAGCATGCCTCCAACATAGAAAGGATTATAAAAGCTGGAAGAGACCAAGAGAACTGAAATAATTTGCATAAAGCCACATTGCAACCAAGTGGCAGAGCCAGGATTAGACTGTCACACTTAACACCACTCTTGGTATACTTCCCTGTGAACCAGGACTCACATAGAAATAGGGGCTAAACTGATGCAAGGTACTTCATATTTCAGAAAATACATATCTTCTCCTTTAGATCACTGTACTTTTAACATTTTTCAGTTGTGAGACATTACTAGCCCATACTTGATCCTTGGCTATAGTTTAAATTTTTAAATGTTGTCTTTTTAGCAACTTCTTGTTTTCTTAGCCTTTGCATGTGGCACATAGTAAACCTCCTCTTGGGAGTGTTCAAGGTTCTATGGGTTGAGAGTGCTTTTCAGTGTTCATGAAAATGTATGTTTCCTTTCTCTTATGAATCTATTTCAAATATTTGCTGTTTTCATTCTCTCCAAAAATAAATGGGTGTTATGCTTCCTATCATTTCAAAAGAACACACATCTAAAAACATGTTATTTCCAGAATATATCAAGTTTTCAATTTACAGCAACTAGAAACTCAATTATATATTTTCTTTTGAGTAAAATTTAGATAAGTCAATTTTATATCCTAATCAAGGAGTTTTATTTCTGAAATATAATTCAAAAATAACATCACTATTAATGACAATTGCTAACATTCCTTGAACTACTGGGATAAATGCCTGATATGAATTATCTGTCTCATCCATCCTTACAAACACCCAATGAGGTGGATACTAGTATTATAATCATTTTACAGGTAGGCAACTGAGTCCTAGAGGGGTTAGTTACCTTACCCAAGAGCATCCAGCTTCTGATAATAATACTTATTGAGTGTGTTATATATGCTGTGGTATTTTATTTGTATCTCCCAAAAATTATTCAAGAGGATGCATTTTCAACCTTTATTTGGATAAGAAAACTAAAGTACCAAGGAGTAATTTAGTTTGCTTCGGGTTGTACACTAGTAAGTGATGGAGCCAGAAGTGTTATCGAAGTTGCTTATTCCAGAGTTGAATATTTAGAATCATTCTCCTATCCTCTCAACAAATCCCACATTAATACTTGTCCTTATGTCAGTTTCATATAGAATTACAGAAAGATTCCAGTATTTTGCCACTTGAAAATTTTCACTTCGATATTCTGAAATATCTCAGTAATACCCGCCTTTAATCATACATCCTCCACTCTACCACCAAGATGAACTTTCTAAAGTATAAATGCAATCTCTTCTGTAAGGATAAAACCCTTTCTTAGCATGCTATATAAGGCCCTCCATAAGGCCCTCCCATCCTACCTTTTTGCCTCATCTACCCACATCCCACTCATACATCATTCCTTTTGAGGATTAACCACTTCTCAGCCTAATCATCTACTGTGCCATCGTGTTTGTGCCTGCTGATGATCCCCAAAGTATCCTACTGATCTAATCTCAATCCAAAATTAACACTTCATCTTTTCCCTCTGAACCCTTGTCTTTCTTAATTTTATGTTAATACACTGCACCAATGCTAGGCCTTTACCGCTCTGCTTTTACATTTGCACATGTGGTCCTCACAGTGGAAACGTCACCCAGTGCCCTGTCTTGCTCTACCTGGAAAAGTTGGACTCAGCCTTCCTTACAGACCAGATCAAATGTCGCCTTGTTAAAAAATATGCACACGGGTAAGCACAGTCAGTAACTTATTCATTCCTATTTGATTCTGTGGCCTCCTACATATATTCCATAGCACAACATAATATTTTTTTATAATTATTGTTTCAGATTGTTCCTTCCAATTCTCCAAGCACTTAAAAATAGGGTCTCCTCCATGCCTACTATAATGTTTTGTATGCATTAAAGATTATTGAATCAATTAGATGTGATTTAAGCCATGACTTTTCAATGAAGGGTTCATGTTGTAGTTGAGGAAATGAAGCTGAAAATCTAAGGAAAATTGGAGAATATTGTAATTAATATGAATAAGGAAAAAGTGGAACTTGAATTTATCATTAAAGGTTTTTTTCCTCCTTAAATCTAAATAGGTTTTCATATTCTTTTGATAGGGCTACATTTATTCTTCAGCAGGAATTTTGGTCCATCAGTTATTTCATTTTCTCTCTCCCCAGTCTATCATTACTGTGAAGTGTTCTAGCTGTATTCTTCTCAAGCTACAACTGTTAGAATCTGCCATATTTAAAAAAAAATTTTTTTGAAAACACTCATGCAGCCCCATAATACCTCGGCTTTAACACTTTATCTTTTGTCTTTATAGGTAGGGCCCTCAAAAAAGAAAAGAAAAAAAATGATTTAAATTATTTATTTTCCTACTAAACTATTAGTGCTTTCCAAACTTCTGCTATTAAAAATTACCAATAATCTATTTTCCTTCTTATTACTAAAATGATAAATTGTTTTTAGCCTTCTCCTTCCTTTAACTCTCTACAACATTATTATTATTATTTAAATTCACTATTCACTACTGTTGACTTTTCCATTTCTTTTAAAGTTATTGTGTCTTGACTTCCTAGATGTTTTTCCCTCCTGATCCAGTCCTACTACTGTCCATCACTCATTCTTAGCTCTTATTGCAGTCTCTTAGTCATCCTGCCCCTCCATTTTGTATTCCCTAAAATTCTCTCCATGGCACTCTTCTTCTTGCTTTTTTTCTTGTCTTTTCATTTTACATTCTCTTCTCCAGTGATATCACTCATTCTCTTTCTCAGAAAGTTTAATTCCTACCTAAATGTTGACAATTCTTACATAAATATGTACCTCAGAAGTCTTACCTCCAATCCACATGCTGTACATCCAAGTGTCTTTGGGCAACTCCAATTGCATGTCCCTTCTCTTACAGGCATCTCAAACTCAAACTCAATTCATCATCTTATTTCGTATTCCTATCTCAGTTAATGACAGCACCATCTACATAATATCAGATGGAACCTAGTCAACCTATGCACCTTTCCTTGTCTTCTCATTTGTAACCAGTCACCAATTGTTTAAGTTCTACCTCTTTAACATATTTCATATCTGATTACTCTTCCCATACTACTTCAGATCATGTTCTTCTAGTACCATGCTTAGACTAGTGCAAAATCTGGGGTACTAGCTTCTCCAGTTTCATACTCCTTCAATCCACACTCCTCATTGCAGCCGAGATGGTCTTCTAAAAGCACAACATTGATTATACTACTTCCTGTTTAGATCCTTCAGTGACCTCATTTTCCCTTCTGAATGGACTCTGAATTCTTCAATATGACATAAGTTCTCTTAACTTCCCAGACTTACCCCTTGTTAAGCTTCCCCCTACCGACTTTACACTTCAGCCATAACATCTGGCTTATAGTTCTCTGAAACACAAAGTTCCTTAAGAGCTCCATAGTTTTCTCTCATTTGTCTATCTGCCTGTAGACAACATGCCCCTCCACTACAACATGCCCCCGGCCCCTTAAACCCTCCCATTTCTGCTTCCATGTCATGAGGAACATCTTAAGGTCAACCCAACTCAATGGCCACTCTCTCAAACCTTTCCTGACCTCCTCTACCCCTACCAGATAGAAGCGACCAAGCTCTCCATTGTACCATACACATGCTTTCATCACAGCATCTTATCACACTGATTACTGACTTGAGAACTGCATTGGACGTTAAGTTTCCTCATAAACAGGGGTCATGTCATATTTGGCATTATATCCTCAGTACGTTGCAATAGGTCTGGCATAATATGACCCCAAGCATAAGTTTGTGGAAAGGCTTGAGGGTATTGCCTGTCATTTTTGCTTTCTATCTTCCAAATTGTTTAGCATTTTTAACACAACCATCACTATATTTTGAAAAAAATAAAAATCTAGAAAATAAATGAGTGCAAATCCATTATTTTTATTAATTCTAAAATTTTCAAGTTGAACCTAAATCTGTCTTGCCAAAAAATTCCCAGAGTGATTTTTGTGCTGTTATTTTTAACAGCAAATTATATCAGATCTATTTTCCTAAGAAATAAGTAGACTTTATAGTGACATTCCTCTAAATATTTGCATTATCACAAGATGAAAACAAGATTCTATACACACAGGGTAAGATAACTATTTTCAGATGTTTGCCTGGAAGACACTATTCTATAACCTCTACTCCTACTGTTTCAATTTCCATTTCTTACAAAAAGGTTGCCAGATGTTTTAGTTAGTGTTTTATCCCACTCCATCTCCTTCCCCACCCTCCAACCTCAGCAGAATTTATTTGTACACCCTGTTCCTGATTATGCTGATCACTAATTCTCATGAGAGTTCCTGGCTCTAGTCAGTGGTGAAAAATGAAGTTATACACAAGCCACTTAAAACCACAGCCCTAAGCAGTGACTCTTCACAGGATTTGTTGGAGGAAAATATACCGTATCTTATTACACATATGTAGTGGCTACAAAAACTGACATACCAAAGTTATCACTTTGTTTCACATCAACGAGGTTGGAAATTCCCAGTATCCCCTCATAGCTTACTAGATAGTTAAGAAGGAAAAAAAAAAGCCACATAAGTGAGTCTCAGGTGACCAATCATTCAATAAATAGAAAGTGAATGGAAAGATTTAGTAGAGGAAAGGAAGAACGCCTAAAAGTTATTTGATTAAGAGAAATGGAAGAGAACAGGGAAAAAGTGTGTGCCAGATTCACAGAGGCAAAGAAAACCTGGATATGAGCAAAAGAGAAAGGCACTCGGTAAAGATCTCTTTGATGCAGATTGACACTGAAATGTTAAATAGAGCATTTTAGGAATGCTCAAGGAATGGAATATTGAAAAGAAACCCACATTTTGGTGTGTCTGAAATGTACCAAGCTACATAGCTAATCGACTTTAGTACTCAGAGCCACCTTATTTGTTACTTCTGTTTAACATTGGTTCAAGTTAATATGAATAAAGTGCTTAAAAATGCCAGGCACATAATAATCACTATATACATGTTTATTATCATCAGCATTTTATAAATGAAGAAACTGAGGCCCCAGAATACTTAAGTAACTTGTCCGATACCACACAGTAAGTGGCATAACTCGTATTAGAACTTAGTCCTGTCTGTATTTCAGTGTGAGGTCTTTTCACTAGAATTCAAGTCACATTTTTGCCTTAGATTGGCTGAGTAACCCAAGAAATAAGATCCTTTTCTATGCATGTAAATTATCTCTTCTACGGACTGAAAAATATATATTGTATTACTATGTCACAGAATGAATTATTAGAAATAAAAATGTAAGATGGAAGCTAAATGTAACTGAAATTAAATAGTTTCATAATTTAATTCAATCATCTCAATAATATTCTGGGAGACAATAGAACAAAAGGGTAGGAGATAGGATTTAATTGCACCTAAGACCACCATTTAGATCACCAAATCACAGAATTTCAGACCTGAACAGCCCTTAAAAAGCATTTGCTTTAATTCCTCCTCATTTCACAGATGATAAAACAAAACAGCTGATGTTAGCATTACTCTCCCAAGGTCTCACAACTTCAATATGCAGACCTATTATAACAAAACACCAGGGTGTAAATTCCTGCTTGGAAACCTCGCTTTAAAGCCATGAATTCAAAGTTAACAAAAAGGTAGCCTTTATAAATCCAAATGTCCAGATCAGATCACAGATGGTAAATCAAACAGCCTTGGATGTGACCTTCATGGGATGGTGGGAAGGGGAAAGGACATTGCTTTGATTGTACATACAATCTCACCTTTGCAAGCTATACCCACGTGGTAAAAGCAACACACCCTCAAGTGCAAAGCACCTTGTCAACAACAGGATCTTAGAAAAACAAACATCTGTGCACATACTGAGTTTAATTTTTTAGATGCTCACATATGTGGCACACAAATGGTAGAAAGTGAACAGCTACGCATTATTGTAAATCACAAAAACATTTTTCTGTCTTTCCTCTATTTTGCACATCCCTAGGAGAGGTAGCTCATCGCATGCATTTAGCAAGGATCTGGCCAATTTGGACTTCGGGAGACAGAGACAGAGTACCTGTGTGCCCAGGCTCTGGCCGCTGGGCTATAGTAGAGGCTCGAGAATACAGGCTCATGGTGGTGTCCTCATCAGCATCCAGCATGCTCCTTGTGCTGCTGTACTTGGCCTGCATCAGGACTTCTGCAAGGGCGAGGGGGAGCTCTGGTTGGATTGCCCCCAAAATGCCTGGCTGCTATGAGACACTTCGGGAACCGAGACACTGAAAGACATTCCTAATGTTCTTCTCTCCCAGCAAGTAGCAGGGAAGTCTCTGACTCCAGTTCCTGCCTGGAGAGGCCCAGCCCCTCTCCTGTGAACTTGTGCTCTGAATGCCAAATTGGTCAGGCGAAGGGGAAATAGCATGTGTTTTCTATTTGGGCGGTCTGGTCTCTCTCTGAACAATTACTAAAGGGGTTGTTGTGCTTCTCAGATCCCTTTTGTTCACCTGTTTGTACTTCCTGTTTAGCTGTATAAAGAAGGCATAACCGTACACTCACACAGAAGTTCCTTCAGAGTCTGCAGAGCAATAATCAATCACAGGGATATACAAATATATATTAGTTTCTTACCCATCGTACACACACTGAGTCACTTAAATTAAGTTTAATCTCTCTGTGCCTTTGTGAAAACGGAAGACTCTATAGGACCAGCCTTTTCCTCTTTCCAACGACATAGTATAAAGCATCATAGACATGTAATGTCAGCACAAAAGAGTCCTTTTGAGGCTATCTAATTGATTCTGTTCTTTCATTTTATTTAAAGGGAGCTTGAAGCCCAAGTAGATGAAGAGATTGCTCTAAAGTGACATAGCTGGTTGGTGACAGAATTAGCTACAAAAGTGCTCTCCGGTTGTAACTTCAATTATCTTTTTTCTTACAGAATGTGGACTCAATTTAACATTTTATAGCACATTTGGTACATCATGATCATGAATAATTACACATATTTTACTGGAAGTATAGTCTTTTAGAATTATTACTAACTACTTCTGACTTGAGGAAGCCAGGTAACAATTTGTTCCTAAAATCTCTAAGCTGAGAAGGAAATGAGAAGATTGTTCTAAATAATGTCCTAAAATTCTTCCCAAATCAGTACAGTAGAATTATATTATTCTACCAATACTTTTCTATATTTCGGGCAATAGCTCGGTTAAATCAAGCATATGAAATATAAGGAGTGCGGAGGGTGCTTGGGTTAGTGCGGTGAGGTCCTATTAGGGATGGACTAACAAGTATATATTGTGAATTCATTATGTGTCTTAAGCTGTGTATTGTTCATCAGTTATTCTAAATGAAACCTGAAGAGAGCTTTCTCTTATGTAATACCTTGTAAAAGGCAGGTAAGCAAAAATTATTTGGTCATTTGCATTGTATTAATGTATTAGAAAATGTTATAGAAAAGAAGACAGTGAAATACTTGAAGGAAAAGATAAGTGAAGCACATATGAGAATGAAACAAGAAGATGAAATATAAGAAATCACAATACCTGGGGCCTGAGAAAAATACATTTAGGAAGTGCTGATTTATATGATTCTAATGAGACAGCAATTAGAACTATTTTCCAAACTTCAGTGATTCATGTAGATCCTTGATAATTTTTACCAAACAACTCACATTAACGTTTTACTACCAGTCCTTAAATATTTATTTTTTCAACAATGACAAAATATTTTTTGAATACCTACTTTATTGCAGGTTCTACTCAGGGATACATCAGTATAAAATAAAACTCTCTGTCCTTTTAGAGGCTACTTTTAAAGAAGTAAAGCAGGAAATATACAAGATGATAATAAGTAAACAGTGGAGTTTATTAAACTATGATAACAGCTATGAAAACATACAGAGGCTAAGGGAGATTAAGAATGTACAGGAAGGGATTTGCAGTCAAGATGGTGGAGTACATAAATGCTGTGCTTATCTCCTCACATGATCACATTAAAATTACAACTCACGGGCCGGCTGAGTGGCGCGTTCCATAAGAGCTGGCATGGGATGCCAGAGGGCCCTGGTTCGGATCCCACATATGAGGGCCAGTGACACTGCCCTCTACAGCTAAGATGCTGAACAACAGCTCGACCTGGAGCTG